ATCCTCATAAAATGAGGCAGCAGATAAGCTCATGACCATATTTCTAACTCCTTCAGGTACTACTCTAAAATGTTTATATAAGGCTTAGGGTTGGAAGGACAGTTTTGTGGTAGAAAGCTTGCCTAGCGCACGTGAGGCCCTGGGTTAAATACCCAGCATACATGCATAAATAACTTAATAAGTAAATAAAAGATAACTCATTTTCACAATGAAGTAGATGAAAAGTTATTAGATATACCTGTCTGTGACTAACCTTGCCACCCAGGGTGTCTAGATTTCACTTGTTTATACCTCTTTCTGAAAAAGATGTTAGGTTTTGTTTCTATCTCTTCTTCTCTTTTCAGTACTTTCCTTGTTTCCATCACAGCTCTATAATCCTTCCCTTCCCATATAACATAGAAACTACTTCCTTTCCTTCACAATCAAGGTTCTGTCAACAGCCATCAATATTTGCTGTCAATTCCTCAATTACAACCCTTAATCTACTAAAACTAAGCCTAAGTGACAAATTCTTAGTCATTCTTTTTTAACAATCATACCCTTGACTTTTATGACATCTGACTTTACTCACTATTCCTTCTCCTTCATTATCTGTTTTTCTTCCCATTGTCTGCCCACCTCCATAACAAGGTACTCTTTTTTTTTTTTTTTTTTTTTCTCCAACCCATCTATCTCACTTGCTAATATCTCCAAGCATTACACAGAGAAAGAGAAAAACAGGTGTGTTCATCTATAAAAGCAGTTTTTAAACTTCTGGGTCTCAGAACCCCTCTACATATTACTGAGGACCCCAAAGAGCTTTCATTCATGTGGCTTACAACTATTGGTATTTACCATTTAGGATTTAAAACAAGAAATTTTATAATACTAGAATGTAGAAATACACAATTCATAAATCATCAATGTAATGGCATCATGTATCATACAGCCTCTGGAAATTTTAATTATAAACTCATGAGGAAATGAAAGAAAAAAAGTCATATAATGTCTTAGAACTGTTATAAAAACCATTCTGATCCTATAGACTCCTTGAAGGAACTTCAAGAACCCCTAGGAATCCTCAGACTATACTTCTGAGATTGTGCTATCTATACCCAACCATTGATTAATATGTATGGCCAAACACTTCTTAGTCTGACCTTTTTCCAAAATTCCAGATAGCTTCTACCATCTGCACGTATATCCCCATTTGTTCATTCCACAGGTATTCATTCAAACTTGATATTACCAGAATTCATTTTCTAGTGTGACAAATCTATTCATATTCATTCTGTGTTATCTATTTCAGTCAAAGGAACTAAAGCTAGATACCTTTCAATCTAACTAGATAGCTTTTAATTATCCTTTGTACCTTTCTTTTCTTCTTTATGCTAATTCAAACTCATCAAATCTTGCTGATTATAATTTTTAAATATAGTGAAATGTCTGAGCTTATAAGAAATGCAAACACTTATCCAGACCTACTGACTTAAGAATATAAATGATTCATTTGCACGTTATAGTTTGATAAGCATGAGCCGGGATAGTGAAAGTCTTAGTAACTTCTCAGTAGAGAATCTAAAGGAGAAAACAGAGTCCAACAAACTTGCGAACACTATAATTAGAAACTCTCTCCTTTCTCCCACTTTTTCATCTCAATATTAAACCTTGGGGACTTGGAGTTTTGTAATGAAAGTAGGATTCCTTAACAAAATGACTTTCCTAACAACTCAATCCTATCCTCTACACTGCCAAAAGTACACTGTAAAAGCCTTTTACAATTCTACATTGTCTTTTTTCTCCCGTTTCAGTGGTTCTCCATCACCTCAAGTGCAAATTCCTTATCATGAGATATAAGAGTCTTCAAAACCTGATCCAGATTATCTTTCACTATTTTTGCATATACTCCCTACAGCGTAAGTTTGCAAACTATTGGAATCACAAGGCAGCTTGGTATTTTTACGTTTCTCAGGTAATCTAAAGTGCACGAGGGGCTGAGAGTCACTGACCTATGCCTGTAACCAAGTTACTTTCACACCTGTATACAGAAGCAAAAGCACACTCTAGTCTCCTTCTGCCTACCTTTTTCTCATGCTTTGCTCTTTGGGATAAATTCACAGCCTTTCTTAGTCAATTATCATCTCTTTTTTGAAGGAAGCCCTTTTGCCTATCTTCTTCTGAAGACAGATGGAATTGGGAGTTGCCTATCTTTGCTCCCATATTCCCTTGTGCTTATTTAAATGTTACAGCACAGCACACCCTGTTCATAAAATGGTATCTAAATATCTGTCAATCCTACTAGACATTGATCTCCTTTGAAGGAAGGGACTGTATCCTGTTTATCTTTATACCCTATACTTGGGCATAGAGACTAAAAGACAGCAGATATGCAGTAAATGCTTACTGAAAACAACACTGAATTTTGGAACCTGTTCAAAAGACCTAGAGTGATGCAAGATGAAAAACAAAACCACTGCCTGCCTATCTATCAGTTGGTTTCATTATTAACAAGAGGAAAATGTTTTCATTCTACAATTCTACATTTAGAAATAAGTCAAATTCATACATAGAGTAATTCACATGTAAGAAAAATAATAATTTCAGTTGAAGGAGATTCAATCTCCCTAACAGTGCCTATCACATGCTTTTTAGTTATAACGGAGGACAGAAAAAAATAGGATTCTGGGTGTCTGAAAAGAGTATCAGACAGAAGAATACAAAGTAGAGAAAGGGGACATTAGCTAGGTAAAATCACCCAAGAGGGAATCAACAGATAATATGCAAGTTATGAACCAAAATAAAATATACACTTTATATTAAAATATGGAAATAAATACCAGGAATAAAAGTTAAAAGAATTGAGGATGGGCATGGGTGGGTGGTCGAAGACAGCTATTTTTAAAGAAATAAACCTTGTACTATTTACTCACAAAACCAAAACGACTATTTTAAAAATATAATGATCAGGGAATGGATTACCAAAATAAATGATATCAAGCTAATGGCATACTACATAATTTGCAACAGATTACTCTCAACCAATTCAGTTAACAAACTGTGAATATCTGTATTTTAATCTGTATGAAATTTCATCTCAAAGGAGTTAATTAAGGTACCTACTATAAAGGTAAAACCTGGAATTCGTTTTCCAGATAAGCAACTTCTTACATGGAAAAACAGAACAAAATAATAATAAAAGTTGATTCTTTGTATGTTAAGGAAAATGTATAATCTGTAGTAATGCCCCCAATATTTTGCCACTAGACTTATTAAAAATCCCAGATAGGCAAAAGCCAAGATTTTTTCAAGATTTTCTAGTACCCCAAACATGAAACTTCTACACAAATAAAACTTTGTACATTCAATGATTAAGCAAATTGTGTTTCATTGCAAATGTAACTATAGTTCTTAAAACAAACAAAACAAAACACCAACATTTTTAAAATGTAGCTTTGGACTTCTCTAAAAGTAAGAGGAATTTTCTTATGGCTAACTTCTCTGAAAGAGTTTATGTACTACCTAAATCTATAACTTATATGGGGAGATTAGATACCTCCAAAGAATATAAAAGATATAATGGTTACAGGTGATCTAATTTTTTGCCTTTTTAAAAAAATATAAAAACGCCACATTTGGTGAATAGAAAAAAAAAATACTCAAAATTATTTTATTGCCTGCCCTTCTTAACACAAAAGACTAGAAAAGAAGAGCATGTTAAATTACTGAATACACCCAATTCCATGAAAATATCAAGAAATGTTCCAAAGACCAGGAAATAAAAAGTAAAAATTTCTTGATACAATGTTTAAAAAACTGTACTTTGACTAGAGCTAAAGCTGCCATTTTTAAGGACTTAGTATTAAGTGTGTTTATTTGAAAAAATCTAAACTGTGATAATCTGGTGCTACAGGGGCTACTAACGCTTACCTCAAGGGAACCTACTGCAGATAAAGTCCCGTCACTTGCACAGTCCTTTCAGCTGCCTGCCAGTTGTCTCTGCGGAAGGGAAAGCCTGATGAGTGAGAACCCTATGCCACACTCCTCTGGAGTGTCCGGGTGCCTGCACAGAACTGCACAACTGTCTACCTAGAGATTCCTAGATGCTTTCAATAACAAAGGACTAAAAAGATGTCATCATTGAACTTCTCTTTCCACTGAACATTGAAACCAAAGGCCAAAAGAGAGTGCTGACCACCTGTTGGTATTAACAAGGTGACAGATCTATACTAACCCAAGAAGAAGAAACACTGAAATGAATTAAGCAGAAATAAGTTAATACTGACAGGGAAAATACAAGCACACACACACATAAACGTTAAACATTAAGTGACAAGTATATAATCTGAGAGAAAAGTCTATGGTCACAAAAAGTGAAGTTGTAGCATCAACAAATGAATGCTAAAACACAAAGAAATTCCTGTCTACCTATTTTTTAAAAGATGCCATCAAGTATATAATGTTCAAAATGAACTCTACCTGGGATTCAAATCCCTACTTACACTGTATATTTTCTTAGTGGGGTCAGTAAGTGGGTATGAGGGGAAGGATTCATCAGATTTTTTTAACATGTACAAAGTGAAAACTAGCAACATGTTTTCATAAGAAATTCTAAAAGCAAGATAACAATGAATATCTGTATCTAAGAAAGTATACACACTCTTACTTGTTTTCAAACTAAGGAGAGAAATACAAAAGTAATAACAGAAAACCATCAAATGCAACATATTTCAAAAACCACCTTCATCTCATAGAACTATGAATAGCTAATAATGGTCTTCCATTAAAGGTATCTGTATATCACTAATGTACAAGTTCAGCTACATAACCAAAGGAACAGTATTTTCTAATGTCAAATACAGTCTTCAATCTGAATATTGTGTTTCACAAGGCAGCACAAGATATTCCTAAAAGAACCTTAAAAACTCTAACTTCAGCATTACAACGATGGAGAAAAAGAAAAAAAAAAACCCTACTTAATTAAAAGGTGATACCAACTTTACCATATAAATGGAAGTACTTACCTCTGATTCTTTGTCACTTAAAGATCCCAAGCTTCCAAAACTGTGATTAGAGCTTTCATTATTTGTTGAGGCCTGTTAAAAGATTTTTTAAAAGGTAAAAATTAGTAGTAATTTCAAATAAACATAAAGTACATAATCTATCTTCATAAATGAAAATAAAGTATGACTCTTTTAAGCATTTAAGCCAAGTGAAATAAAAATAAGAAATACAAAATTCTTAACACTATATCAATATCTTGGCAAGTTTTATCAAATAAATAAAGTTCTGCTGTGTTTCAGAAAACGACCCATTTTTTAGAGCACCAGTTCAAAAGCAAAGGAATTAGGCCACTGCCAGGATAACAAGATCACTAAAATTAGTACCCAATATAAAAATTAATGTATTGTTTGACCTTTAAAGTCTTATTTACACTCTTCAATTCCCTTCATTAGTTCCATTTCTATCATCTCATATACACCCTTTTGCTTTCCTTCATATTAATGAACTGCTCTAGATTTGTTGTTGTTGTTTAATTTAATCTTCTAAAAAACTGTTTTACCATCCTGACCACTGCTTTGCTCAAGGGTTTCCCTATTTCCTGAAAAATTTTTGAACTGTGACAAACAGAAAAAAATGGGCTATCATTCTTTAGGACAACATCTGCTTTACTTCCAATACAGTTTTATGATGTTTATTATTTTGTGAACTCTTTTGTGCCATAATACATTGAATCAATGTCTTCCAGGAATGTTTAAAAAAAGAAGCCAACAGGCTAAGGCATATATGCCAAATGATGAATTAACTTCCTGCAGGCCAGTTGATGCACTCACGTTTCCTTTTTATTTATTAGAGTAGCTTTCTGCTAGTAAAAATAATAGTAATCTGACCTAATAGTAATCCTACTATTAATAAGTTACAAGGTGGCCTACAATCATCCTTACATAAATTTCTAAACTGACAATTACAAACATGTTCAGTACTATGCTGGATACAATAAAGGCTGTTTTCTATATAGGACAGTACTTGAAATGCTTAAGATTTAAGAAATACTCGGGAAAAGTTATAATATAATTAGGACAAGTTTATTACACCTAAAAAAAATTTATGACATCACAGCAATTAAGTGATAAATTAGAAAGATTCTGAATAATGGAAGTAGTGGCAAGGTTTTTGAGCATCCATGAAAAAAATAATATAAAACTAAATAGTAAATCAAAAACCCAGAGGCAACATTTACAACACTGGGTGACAAGAATTTCAATAAATCCTCACTAAAACAGTAGGTGGAGAAAAAAAATCACCAACAACCAAAAGACTTGTATTGTATCATTATTTGCATGGGAAGAAGCAAAAAGAAACATGTCTGCCAGAACTGAGAACAAGATACTCCCCAAACTGCAAAGAACTCATCAAAACCAGCAGTTAACTGGAGTATTGAAGCTATAGTTGGAAAGATTTTGTCCTTTAAATAGTGACTAAGTGCAAGGAGTCCACAGTGAAGTCTAAGTCTAAGAAGTTGAAACAGTCTATCCTTTATGAATTCTTGAAAAGACCATTCCTTGATAGGGAGGTAAAATAAGTATAAAGCAATGGGTGTAGAATTAAAATTGAGCACCACAGGTACACATGAAATAAAAAGTGGGGAAGAATTGAATAAATTAATAAGCCATTAGAAACTTTGAGCATATTTTTGAGGACTTAGAAGCAACTAAATTAAAATATTTAATCTTGTAAAAAAAAAAAAAAAAGTGGGGAAGAAAATGACCTAGAAATCTCAGAAAGCACATGCCACAGTTTTGAGGAGAGCCCAAAACAGCAAAAGGAGCACTCAGAAAAAAGCCATCCTGAACCACATCTTAGCGTACAGGACATCCAATTTCACAAAAAGTAAGCAACGGAAAATAATGTTGTGTCAGCCCCATAAAGTTGTTATAAGCAGAAAGAATAAGGTACAGAATAACACCTAACAAATAAAAACATACCAGAAAAACACATCCACAAAATAGGTAAAGATTGTAACCTACTATTTCAAAATGAGCCAAAGGAATTTACAAAAATGATTCAAGGCTGGGCACAGTGGCACATGCCTGTAATCCCAGTAGCTCGGGAGGCTGAGACAGGAGGATCACGAATTCAAGGCCAGCCTCAGCAAAATCGAGGCGCTAAGCAACTCAGTGACACCCTGTCTCTAAATAAAATACAAAATAGGGCTGGGGATGTGGCTCAGTGTTTGGGTGTCCTTGAGTTCAATGTCTGGAACCCCCCTGTCCCCAAATGATTCAAGCAAGAACGAAAAGCATATATCAGATTTTCAAAACTCAGAAATAATGTATTTATAAGAAATAACAGAACTCAGAAAAGCATTAAAGATAAAAGAAAAATAGTACTGGAAATATATAAACCAAATGAACGTGGCAAATACATATAGCAGATAATCGTCTTTTTTTTTTTTTGGAAACCAGGGCTTGAACCCAGGGGCACTTGACTACACTGAGTCACATCCCCAGTCCTTTTTATTTTGAGACAGAGTCTCACTAACTTGCTGAGTGCCTTGCTAAATTGCTGAGGCTGACTTTGAAGTTGGGATCCTCTTGCCTCAGTCTCCAGAGCTGCTGGCATGCACCACTGCACCCTGCTAACAGATGATCCTTTAAGGGATCTAGAAAGTATAAAGGAGGAACATTCTTTAAATTAAAAGAAAAAAGATGAAAAGAATTTGAGATAAAACAACTAATGAAGCAACGAATATTTAATATACAGGCAACAGAATTCCTAAAAGAGTTAAGAAAATAATGAAAACTACAATTTAAGAAAAACTCCCCTGAAAAATGAAATTTCATTTATAACTTCTGATTGAAAAACTAACACAATATGTACCTAAGAATATCAACCCAGAAGGCCAACATCAAAGTTTTCAAAAGCGATATTTTATGCCAAAAGAAAACAAAACAACATAGTCAAGATAGTCAAGGAAAGAAAACATGAGCAAAGTGCTTCATATTCACTAAAACAAATTGTTTTATGTGTTTATTTTTCAACATATTCTTCCTTACTTTTAAGCTCTTATTGTAGACTGAAACTCTGGTTTTCAGAGTTAGTAGAATACAACATTTGTTTCATATTGTATTCAGAATACAACATTAGGAACTACTGCTCCCATAAGCCCTTCCCAAAGAATCTACTGAAAACAGACTTCAAAAATCCAAAATGAAGAATTTAATCACTTTAAGAACTAAAATCAAGCAGCAATATTATTTACTTATTGATAGAATTAAATATTACATTATTTATTTAATCCCTATCTTCTGCATTGATCTCGAGAGCCATGATTCTCAATATAGAAGATGCAGATGCAAATAAAATTTTTATAGTCCTGAATTAGAAGAATCAATATAAACTCATGCAATATTATTTTTGAAACAAACAAAATGAATATAAACGTGCACACACACACAGCAACAGCAACACCAACCACCACCAATAATAGAAAATCTTATATCAGAATAACCTTCCCACAGATAACTATAAATTCTGGAAAAATATTTAAAAATTAAGACTATCCTTTCAGGGATCATTTCTATAGTTTGTTACCTGAAGATACTTGAGCAACCAAATGAGAGATTAACACTTTGAGGATGGGAACAGATTTGGAGGGCTTCCTGTTTTTACAGTTTTTTTTTTTTTCCTGAAGGAAGGCCCTAAGAGTCAGCAACTAAAACTTTTGATTAAATCTTAAGTTTTACTGGTTTTAAAAACCAGTTTCAGTCTACAATAGCTGAAAAGGAAGGAGGAATATGCTGGAAAATAGAGAACCACAAAGAAAGAGTCCTGAACTCTGCATATTAATTCTGCCCACCTCTCTAGCTGTTCATGTACGAGTGGGAAAGACTATAAGCAGTCCAGGTAAGGCTAAAACAACTGAACAGAGATGCTGAGCTGCTGGCCCCCTTTGGCAGGCGCAGTTTAGATGTCAGTTCAGCTAAATTAACTGCCTACAAATAAAATAGAAAGAAAGAAAGAAAAAAAAGAAAGGAAGGAAGGAAGGAAGGAAGGAAATCAACATTCTCCAGAATACAACAATCCCCAGTCACTACGGTATGTCATTCAGAGTATAGAAAAAATACAACATTCCTAAACATATGAAGAAACAAACTCTTATGACCTACACTTGAGAAAAAGACATTCAATAGAGAGAAACTATAAAGTAACACAGATCCTAGAATCAGCTAAATTAGCTATAAACATGATTAAAATGAAAAAGGGAAATATGCTTATAATAAATGAACAAATTGGAAATTTCTGCAGAATGAAAATTGTGAAAAAGATGTAAATACTGGAACTGAAAATTTCACTCTGAAATAAAAAACAAATCACTAGATGGGCATAAAAGCAGAACTGAGAAGGACAGTATTGAAGACAGGTCAAAGAAATTATTCACATTAAATAACAGAAAGAAAAAGCTTTAAATTAGCATCTGTTGGACACTAGTAAGTAATTGAACATATATGTAATGAGAGTCACAGGACATAAAATGGAGCAGAAAAAAATATTTGAAGAAAATTTCAAAACTTGGTGAAGACGTTAATTTATAAGAGTTCACCAATTCTCCCAATCGGGTTAAGTACAAAGAAAACCATACCAAGGCACATCATAACCAAAAGGGGAAAAAAAATTTTAAAGCAGATAGAGAAGGCATACCTGAGAACAAAAGAAGGATATAAGTGACTGCTGATTTGTCATGAATACTGGAGGTCACATTTACTCTGTGGAAATCATGAGCCAGGAGAACCTTGCACTGAGGCACATAAGATACCATCATTAAGGAAACTGAAGAGATTAAGTACAGGTGAAAAAAGAGACCTAACTTAATCTTTTCCCCATGTTTTATTCTAGAAAGTTAGCAGTCACATTTATCCTCCACAGGTGGAAGATTATTTTCTCTCCAGAAAAGCAGACCATTTCAAAAGACAAGATACTAAGTTGTAAATCCCTCAAAGAAATTACACCCAGCTAAGTTATCCTACTAAAAAATCCATCAGACAATAAGCCCTGCCTACTCACACAAAGCATCTAATAAGTGTTTGAGTACGTA